TAACACTTTCATCAACACTACCACGCTTATCATCACTACCATATTTCTATTTTCATTGTTTTTTAGATTATTATCCAAATAAGTTTTACTGTTTTCTATTCCGTAGAACTATTTTTGAAATTATATAACCAAATAAGTTCTGTAACGTAAAAAACACTAAAATACATTTTTCTAAAACTCTTTATAAAAATAATTTTTGGATACTGTTTTTGAGATACAAACCAAACAATCTTTTTTTGCCAAATTGAAGAGTCGTTTTCAATTAGTGTTTGACCAAAAACCTGATACATTTTGATACCATACATCCCTCCATATCGAAATTATAGTCGTATCCCGTGTTTGAAGGAATAATGAAATATAAGATGCTAGAGTTAAAAAATTGATTCCAATATACCAAATTTAAAATTAATTTTTTTGCTCACATCATTTAAAATTAATTTTTATCTATTATTTTCCAAAAAATAGCATCAAAATTTTCTAAAAATACATAACTCGATAAGATTTTTTAACATGTGTACACTATCGTATATAAATAATGTATGAAATAAAAGTTGTGTTAAACTACAAATTATATAAATATTAAATGATTGAACATGTAATAGAATTGAATGATAAAAAATATATAAAAAATAAAGATTCAATTTACTAGTTAATTTATTATATAGATCGGAGTACCCGAGCCTTACCCTTGTAGTTGTCGATCGACATCAGCCAAACACTCGAATATCATTACTAATACCGCGGTCCAGCCTACTTTGGTAGTTTAGGCGCAATCCAACTCTCTTTTAGTGGGCCTATTATGATGTGGGCTAAAACGGTCAACCCAATAAGGCCAACCAATTAAACGTTTTGGGCAGCTGGACTCGATTCAAAATCCATGGAATATCAGCCTTACTAATGTGTACTTAAATCAAATTAAACACATTTTATTGGACGAAGAACAATATTGTCAAAAGTAAAATCTAATTTAATGTCGTGTCATACAACTTCTTTGATTTCGATCTAACCATTCCAAAACATAGAATAAGGTAAAGATATACTATATTCCTATTCGCACTAATCCCAAAAAACTCAATTGCTTTGGTTTGATTTGATCTTATCAAACTAATCCAACCCTATATAGGAAAACTTATCAAAGAGCTCGGGTATAATAAACCCCACATGTAGACTACATACTAATCCATTATTAGATGATAATGTTGTGTTAACTCACTCGTGGAATCACCACTATTGGACCAAAATCCCAACAACCTACAATTTGAGGTAAAAACCCTCCGACCCATTTGCCATAAAAACTTATCCATTTACCAATGAAAACTGATCTATATGTACCATAAGTTGGAGCATTTTAAGCACCCATATCGGTTTCTAGGTAGAGTTGAACTCTGAAGAATAACCAAATTGATTGGTCTGTCTCCAACCAGCCAACTATGCAAGGTTATTTTGTCACTTGAACGCAGCAAGAGCAATACTAGGATACCACATAGGGCCAAAAACTATAACTCAACGCTCTCCAATTCAACAAATAATTCATGACAGAACAGAACCATGTGTATTAGCCCATTACACAGAATCCATCAAATGTCTTGNATATTATGTATACATTAATTTCATATAAAAATATAATTATAAAATATGTATTTATAACCTAAGATGAAAAAAATATTTTTTTAATTTAAAATTTTAATTTTAATTTTTTTTAATTTATAATTTTTTCCACTCAACACGATGACACGATTCGAACTCGACACGAATTTTATGACACAAACTTGAAAATGATCTGACACGCGAACAAGAAATATAAAAGACTCATAATTTTATAACTCAATATGAATCTGACACGACACGACTCTATTGTCATCCATAATATTAGCCAGCACAAAAAAAAATTAAAAAAAATTAGTCATTTTTATTTTGCATCGATCCAACCAAACACAAAGAAAGAAAAATGTATCATTTTTACTTTCTGTCCTTGAAGGATAGAAAATGTATTTCTCCTACTTTCCATCTTTCTTACTTACTTTTTATCATTCCTACTAAACGGAGTATAAGTGTCTTATTTCAAGATTTCATTGAATAATCATATAGTATAGGGAATTAATAAAAGAGAATTTCTTTATTAATTCAGTTGAAAGAACTTTTGTTATAGAAAAAATTGGATTAACAGCCTTGATTACATTTGGAACTGCCTCCTAAAACTAATCTAAATTACTCACAAAAATACTCAAATTGTGGATCTTGTTGGGGTTTTGAATAAGAATGGCAGTGGACCGAAGTGGGGGCGAGAGATGTACTCTCCATCTCCGTACTCACTTAAAAAAATTATGTTCATCCTGGTCCACCTTTGTTAACAGATATATTTTTTATTCTCATCTCCGTTTGCAGATAAATTTGTAATTCCCGCCCCCACCCTGTCCCCTCCTTCACCCCCACCCCCGCCCCCCTCAAACCTAAGCCCAAACTAACATAATCTAATATTTTAAATAAATTTAATATCTATAAAATAAAGTAGCTTACAATTAAAATTTCAACAGATAAACAAAATGACTTTTATTATTCGTGGTTGAGATCGTTTTAAATTATACTTTAAAGTTAATCTAATGGCTAATATTAACACTTTAAATTTAATAGGAAAAATAGGTCTTTAAGGATGTGTTTAGAATGACTTTTTAAAAGTACTTCTAAAAATTATTTCTCATAAATACTTTAAAAAAGAAAATAGTGTTTAAAACTGTCACACCACCACCACCACCGCCACCACCACCGCCGCCACCGCCACCACTATAACCACCACCACAGCCATCGTCGTCGTCGCCACCATAACCGTCGCTACCGCCACCACCGCCGCTATCATTGTCACCGCCACCACCATCACCGTCATCGCCACCACCACCGCCGCCACCGTTGTCGCTGCCACCATCACCATTGTTGTCGCCACCATCACCGTCGCCTTCGTCGCCACCAATGCCACAATGGTCATTGCCACCCACCACAACCATCACCGTCTCCTACCACCACCACTACTGTCGCCCACCACCTCTCACCTCCTACTACAAACTGATGTTTAAATTCTTTTATCTCTTCTTTATGTTTGTGATTTGATTTTGGATATAAATACAAATATATTTATTATTTACCATTTTTTATTACCTTGTACCTTCAGGCACGGGTAATAACTAGTTTTAAATAATTCAACATAGTTATAGAATATTATAACATAATTAAAAGCTTGTCATTTATAACATAATCTAACATAATATAATTAAAATCTTGTCTTTAATATAAATCCAACACAATATTATGTAACATAACATAATCTAATATAAAAAAAAATACAAAAATAAAAAAATTTACACTTTTACAAGCTGTTTGGTTTACATCTCAAAAATTAGTAAAAGCTGTTTGGTTTACATCTCAAAAATTATTTTTTCTATTTTCTAAAATAGTTTCTAGAAGAAAATTTATTTGACCATTTTTTTTGAAAATTGAGAACAAAAAATTAGTAAATTTAGAGAACAAATTAGGACAATTTTGTATGTTTTTAAAAATAGACTTTTCAGAATTTAAAAAATACCACCACCACTAACACTTTCATCAACACTACCACGCTTATCATCACTACCATATTTCTATTTTCATTGTTTTTTAGATTATTATCCAAATAAGTTTTACTGTTTTCTATTCCGTAGAACTATTTTTGAAATTATATAACCAAATAAGTTCTGTAACGTAAAAAACACTAAAATACATTTTTCTAAAACTCTTTATAAAAATAATTTTTGGATACTGTTTTTGAGATACAAACCAAACAATCTTTTTTTGCCAAATTGAAGAGTCGTTTTCAATTAGTGTTTGACCAAAAACCTGATACATTTTGATACCATACATCCCTCCATATCGAAATTATAGTCGTATCCCGTGTTTGAAGGAATAATGAAATATAAGATGCTAGAGTTAAAAAATTGATTCCAATATACCAAATTTAAAATTAATTTTTTTGCTCACATCATTTAAAATTAATTTTTATCTATTATTTTCCAAAAAATAGCATCAAAATTTTCTAAAAATACATAACTCGATAAGATTTTTTAACATGTGTACACTATCGTATATAAATAATGTATGAAATAAAAGTTGTGTTAAACTACAAATTATATAAATATTAAATGATTGAACATGTAATAGAATTGAATGATAAAAAATATATAAAAAATAAAGATTCAATTTACTAGTTAATTTATTATATAGATCGGAGTACCCGAGCCTTACCCTTGTAGTTGTCGATCGACATCAGCCAAACACTCGAATATCATTACTAATACCGCGGTCCAGCCTACTTTGGTAGTTTAGGCGCAATCCAACTCTCTTTTAGTGGGCCTATTATGATGTGGGCTAAAACGGTCAACCCAATAAGGCCAACCAATTAAACGTTTTGGGCAGCTGGACTCGATTCAAAATCCATGGAATATCAGCCTTACTAATGTGTACTTAAATCAAATTAAACACATTTTATTGGACGAAGAACAATATTGTCAAAAGTAAAATCTAATTTAATGTCGTGTCATACAACTTCTTTGATTTCGATCTAACCATTCCAAAACATAGAATAAGGTAAAGATATACTATATTCCTATTCGCACTAATCCCAAAAAACTCAATTGCTTTGGTTTGATTTGATCTTATCAAACTAATCCAACCCTATATAGGAAAACTTATCAAAGAGCTCGGGTATAATAAACCCCACATGTAGACTACATACTAATCCATTATTAGATGATAATGTTGTGTTAACTCACTCGTGGAATCACCACTATTGGACCAAAATCCCAACAACCTACAATTTGAGGTAAAAACCCTCCGACCCATTTGCCATAAAAACTTATCCATTTACCAATGAAAACTGATCTATATGTACCATAAGTTGGAGCATTTTAAGCACCCATATCGGTTTCTAGGTAGAGTTGAACTCTGAAGAATAACCAAATTGATTGGTCTGTCTCCAACCAGCCAACTATGCAAGGTTATTTTGTCACTTGAACGCAGCAAGAGCAATACTAGGATACCACATAGGGCCAAAAACTATAACTCAACGCTCTCCAATTCAACAAATAATTCATGACAGAACAGAACCATGTGTATTAGCCCATTACACAGAATCCATCAAATGTCTTGATCAAAACTCAAATCCAACATCATGGAGTTCACTGCAGTGATTGTCACAGGTTTCTTCTACCAAATAAAACCAAAAAAAAAAAAAACACTCTCGCTTGAGAACAAAAAACTTGAGCACCTATCATGAGCCAAGGGGAAGAACATTTCATACATGGAATGAGGCCTCCAAACCCCCTTAATCGAAGAGACTGAAGCCCATGTCCTGCAGCAAGTTCAAAAGGAGGAAAATATAATCAGTAACGTTAAAAAGCTAAAGCATCGGTCATGCAAGAGGAGGATGTGTTAGTAACAAGGAGTGTCAATCAAGTCAAGACGTGTTGTGCCCTTTCCTGATTGTGTCATCTTTAGGCCTTGTCTTATTTGTGATAGTAAAAATTCATAATTCTAAAACATTTGATTCAATTCTAGATCAGAAAAATGATAATAAAAAATTAAAAAATCACACTTCTTAACCTACAATACTCTAGTCAAACAGGGTCTTCACATATCCTGATTCTATTTTTTTTTCATGTTTGTTTCGTCTCAGGTTTACATTAATGTTAAAAATTGGCGCCTCTAATCGCAGCATGCAGCTTCCACTTCATGAATGGTGAAGTGTTGGCATTCACATGGATTGAAAATGCATCAATACCAAGCATGCCCATCCTCGATTTTTTTTTCCCAGATTGCCAATCCAATATGACTGAGATTTTTTGCCCAGACTTGCATATGCGGTATCTGACAAGTGAATTCGAGGTGAACTACGCCAGCTTATGTAAAATGATTAGATAACCAGTCTCAAGGGATTAGTTGGAGCAAGGCTTACATCATCAGACTCCTCTTTCTCTTCCACTTTCTCCTCTTTTTTGGGCTCAGCTGCAGCTGGAGCAGCAGCGGCGGCACCACCACCAGCAGTTGCAGCTACTGCAATAGCACCACCACCACCACCAGAAGGTACTGATGCCAACTTCTCTCGTCCAGCCGCAATAAGCTCTGTTATGTCCTTGCCTTTGACTTGTGACAAAAGAAGCTCAAGTCTGTCATCGTCAGCTTCAGCTCCAACTGTGGCAGAGAAATTTTCAGCATCCATAATAATTCAATTATGCTCCTCTTTATAGAACTTAGTATCTCATACAAGGAAACGTCAAATGAATAACTATTTTCCAATAACAATTTCCTAATACTCTAGAGCACGCAAAAGCAAAATCACCCACCTCAAATCATGATTCAAATACAGTTATGCATTAAAGTGTGTGTGTACAGAACACATCACAAAAATGACCAACGTACATACTACCAATATTGCATGAAAAAACTAAAAAATGCTGTCAAACCTAAATATAAATACTAACATGAACACCATTGATGCTGGATAGTGTGACATTTAATATCATAAGTTCAAGCAGAGAGATTCAACAAAGTTTTACAACAGTAAACAAGCAAATAGACAGATTAAACAAATTCCACAACTGTAATAAATCAAAGGGAGCAGATGTAACAAATTTCGGGAGCAATTTCCCACCACATAATGATACCCTTGGATCATAGATTTTCTCATCTAATTATTCATTCAAACAATGGCTCAACAATTTAAACAACTTTGACAGCATTTTCATGCACAAGTAATGGTGACTTCACCAAAGGCAGGACTCTTTTCCACTACAATCAACCCACTTTTTTTGGCTCAAAATGGCAATCTTTTCAAGCTACAGGTGAAAAACGCAGCAAAAGCAACACTAAAATACAGGTCAACCGCATGTATAATTCCCCACTTTTGATTTGCTTTAGGTGCTCAAACTGAATCTTTCAGGCAATTTAAATGAGTTTCAATTAACGATAAAAGCCTTTCACGTAAACCAACATCAAACCAAGTAACCAACCACTTCGATCTACTTCAGACAAAAAAAAAATTAAAGAATCAATAGCAGCCAGTTATTATACGTATACATACATGATACATTTATACATATACACGCGCAAAATAAACCCACAAAATCAGATGCAAGATTAAACAGGACAAGGGTAACGTTAAGCACAAAACACCAACTTACAAACATATAAAACCATTAATCAAACAATTAGAATAAGTAAAGATATTCATTAAACAGATAACAAAGATATCACAAATAATTTTACAAGAACGTGAATACAACATATATATAACGAGAGGCAGTACCGGAGCCAAGTATATCCTTCAAATCCTCTGCTGAAGGAGAGGTGTTCCCCCCCAACAAAGCTAGCAAATACGCTGCAATCACCTTCATCTCTTCTCAAACTACAAAGTGAAAAACAAACTGATCACAACAAGAGTACACCACCCACACATACACACACAAACAGATAGAGAGAGGGAGGGAGAGAGAGAGAGAGAGGGATTACCGAGAGAGCTCTAGATCTGTGAAGGGCAAAGGAGGGGAAGAAATCTGAATACAAGGCGCAAGAGCAGAAGCTTGTGGGAGTACATGTATATATATAGCTAGGGTTTAGGCCAGGTTGGGTCACTTTGCTTCTGGGCTAGAATAACGGATCGGACTAGTGCGGGCGGGTCAATTAATTGACGGTCAAATATATGGATCCTCCATTCAATTATCCGTGCATAAAAAATACATTTTCCGATTTATTTTAAAAAACAATATGTATGTCTATTTTTTCAAGGTGAATGACACTTTGCACCTCGAAAGATATTTAATTTTTTCATTTTATACCATAAAATATTTCAAATATGCACCTTCAATCATATAAAAAGTTAATAATATAGTCTAAAATTTACACGTTTGTTGCTTTGTTTGACCATTTTTTTTTTATCTATTTTTTTTATATAATAAATTATTTATATATTACTTAGTTTTAAGTGTATTACATAAACATTTTGTACTCAATTTTATTGAACTGGATCACATTGTTATATTTTATCCGATTAAGAATATATTTTGAGAATTTTAATCTTCAAGATGAAAATTGAAATTTTTTAAAAAAATCAAGATTTAAAGTGACATTCATCATTTTTCTCATTTTGTTTTTCTTGGTCGATCATTTATTTTGTTTATTCATAACTGAAAACTAAAATAATTTATGTTTTTTAAGTTCTACAAAAAGTAGATGATGTAATTTGATCTTTGTTGGTAGTTTCTTAATAACTCCAACATTAAACTCATTAAACTTTATGAGAAGTCAAGGATCAGTGTTGGTCTAATGGCCATAGATCATAGGTTCAAACCTTACCGCCCCTCCATTGTAAAAGTTTAAAATAGTAACCAAAAAAAAAAAACTTTATGATAAAGTCCATTGGCCCATTGCCATGTTTTTGACTCCTTAATTAGATTATATCAACTCATTAAACTTGGGGTGTTTTTTTTTTTAAAAAAAAACAGACAAAAATAAAACTTAATATTATTTCCCTCCCATTGTCTCCTAATATTTTTTCTCTCCTATTGTCCAGACTTGTATTGACTACTCCCTCAAATTGGCCACCGTAGTTTGAACTGGACATTGTCTTCTAATCGAATATCCCTTTAGAAGATTTCAATGGTGGACAAAGAATAGAATGTGCGATGTGCCTCTCTATCTAAGGGGTAATGAAAGAAGTAGCAATCTCTTGCATGCTCCATGCGGACCATACCCTTTTTCTTGCTCCTTGTTCTGTCGATGGTATGAAACACAAACAACTCCACAGCAAACTTTGTCAAGATGGTCGGAATATGAGTCGAACAAGTTTTGACATAACACAATCTATTGTCAGCCCTCCGGACCAACAGGTGCACTGCTCAATGTTGCTACAAGTAATGAAGCTAGCAATTTCTACCTCAAGAAGTGACTAATTACCCATGCATTATCATTACAAGGTCATAGTGGTGACCAGCTACTATCATCTTCAAATTCACTATAATAACAAATCAGTAAACAGAAAATCAACTCTTTAGTATTGTAAGCAGCCAACCAGACTAAGGAAAACTATAAAAACAACTATTGTACCTGGTAAAACAGCAAGTGACTATGCCCCAACTATTGCATTCCGAATTTTAAGATTTTAAAGGCGAAGGCGAGACCCTCCTTTGATAGTTGGTCCAAACTCGCTTCACGGGGCTGGAGCCTTGCAACTCTAGCAATGGCTTTATTTTCTTCAGGAGTCCCACTTTCCAGAAATACACCCACTCCCTTTCCATCTTTGACCCAATAAGATCCAAACTTGGGTTTTGGTAATGTTGGATTGTTGTCTCCAAAAAGTACAGAGTCTCCCACGTTGTCGCCATAGAACTGCCAAGACAGATCGAAAGCGCGGGAATAGAAGAATGGCAGGTAGTCATACTCATCAATGGACTTCCCTTGTTCGCCTGCGAATGTAGCCTACACCAAAGGAACACAACTATTCAGTTCCATCTCAACTCTTATAGTCTTTCGGTGAAATGAGATTTTCAGCATTATTTATTTTTAAGGAGAGTTCCATATACCGATATACGTACCAGGGAATTATCAAAAGCATGAAGATAAGTGCAGAGGAGAATTCTAGAGGAAGCCCGCAAAATATTATGTGAACAGAACAGCTTACAAGTATTGCTTCAAACATCACTTCGATGATTTAATATTTTTTGACTGTCTGAAATACATTATCAAAAAAACCCACAAAAATTTCATTATTAAGTTTTGGATTATGTTTTGAGACTTTGTTGAGGACATGTCATGAAAAATTGGACCACACAGTGGAATTTCAAAGGATGGGAAAAATTTGACATACTTAAATATAGCTACCAAACATGCAAACCAACTTAAATTTTGGTAATATCTCTAAATTCTGAACTTGAGATGCAGCATAAGTGCTTGCAAATAGGATCCATATTATTTCATAATCCAAAAAGCAATTAAACCAGGTGCATACCTTCACAGCCTGTTCAGCCGATTTGCGGGCATGATCCACATGTTCAACTCTTCTCATATCATTGTACAACTTCAAGGGGAAAGTAGCACCATCACCTACAGCATATACATCAGGAATGCTAGTTTTCAAGAACCCATCTGTCTGCAAATTAGAAGGCCATGTCATGAGCTCAACATCGCAATCCATGAGTTTAGATTGGGCGCACAATGCATTTTCATTGCCAAATAGAAGTTCAATACTATGATTAGCTTTTACTGGGCTTAATTTTTGAACCATTTAGGACTTCTGATCTATTTCTGAATATGCAAACACAACCAACCTTACAATATGCATATTTCATTCATTATCAATAAAAAGTGAGACACTAGCAAATTAAACAGCTCATGATTTGTTGCATGATTTTATTATCATGTACATGATTTAGATGGTTATTTAGGGAATGACAATTCGAATATTTGTTTTATGAACTACTGGAGCAAGTTTTACAATATACAAAGCTTTCTGTTGCAGACATTATTTTCAGTTGTCCTACTACTGCCCTAGATATTCACAACAATTTTACATGAACAAGAAACCAATTAATATATCAGACAAACAAACAATTGAGAGAAATCTTCAGAGGACGAAACCCACAAACCTTGATTCCATCCTTCTCCTCTTCAACCTGCCCCTTAAATAGTGCTGTAAGAGGTCGGGCCCCAACAACAACAATGTCAGCTTCAAACACCCCACCATCCTTAAGTTTTACTTACTTTACCTGAAAGATGGAAAATAAATTGTCAAAGATACATGCAATGGAGCACTTAAAAACTTTATTAGCAGATGACAAAATAGGTTTCATATGATGGAGAACATACTTCTCCCTTTGCATTAGTTTCAAACCCGACAGCTACAGTTCCCTTTATAATTTTTGTTCCCTTGTTTGCATAGTAACCCTCATAGAAAGCAGCAATACCAGCAGTGAAAAGCCAAGGCACTGGAACAGTGTCAATTATTTCATCAAACTCAAGGATGCACCCACAGAATCCAAATAAGAGAAAATCAGTTCATTTTGTATGTTAAAATCTAAACACCACCATGCAAGTGCCTTAACATCAAATAGGAAGCAAGGAGCTAAAAGAGAATACGAGATGAGAACAAATCAAAGTCTTCTCCATTTACTGCACCATGGTTCTGGGTAAGCCATGCTGACATCAAAATTGTTGATCCTCAATGCTGCACTCAGCTCAAGACCAATGTATCCTCCTCCAACAACCACAGCCTACCCATTTTTCTTTGTTTTTAATGCTTCTGCAAGCTTCTCTGCATCCTCGATTTTTCTCAAGTAAAAGATGTTTTTGGAATCATCCTCTTGTACACCAAAGTCTGACAGCCTTATAACCTGGAAAGATCGAAATTAAGAATCGATCTAAAGGGAAAGAAGAAAAGAGTGGAATGAAGATTTGGTAAAAATCTTTCAAGCTAAAACACTTACTGTGGAACCAGTTGCAATGATCAAAACGTGATATTTGAAGTTTTCTCCAGATGTACTAATAAGAGTCTTTGAAGCAAGATCAGCTATCACTATTTCCGTGCTAAGGATCAGCGATATTCCTGTGATAGTCCAAATGGCGTCCATGTTAGATTACTTAGGGATGCAACCTTTAATTTGCAGATGCCTCCATGACACAAGAATAGGCAAGGACAGAAATTGGAAACAACCCAATGCACTCATGTTTCAAATAATAATCAGGTAAATAACCAAGAAGAATCTTGAGATGCATGGAAGAGCAATCTAGTATCACCTTTCTCAGCATACTACTCAGGGAGCAGTCTCTCCCCTCCACTTCCAACACATACATAAAATCCTGGAAGTCTTGCAGCCCCTGAAGAAAAATAACAAAGCAATCGTATATCAAATAGTGGAGCTTGAATTAATGACTGACTAGGAACCAAAAGAATAAATAAAGACATAAAATATAATGAATTCATTGATCTATTTAAGACCTTCAACAAATTTTTGAAGAAATAAAAAAGATTACTAAAATTAGCAAGCTTGAGAGAAAGTCTCGAGTAAGACAACTTTGATCCTAGCAACTATCTTGAATTTGAAGTCATTTTCCAGCAGAGGGATATCATACAAGGTCACTACTTAGCAGAGGAAACAACAATAAATTTTGGGCGGGTAATTCACTTTCTTTTTCAGTCAACAAAAGTAAAACATGTAACCTACCCTCGGGAAACAGGTATGCCTTGCTAAGTGTGGGGCGTTCATAAGGAGCTACCTGAAAGGTAAGAAAGTATAGTTTCAAGTAATTTCATCCGAAAGTCCTGAATCTTGATAGGAAATATAACTAATTTAATTTCCGGAAAAGCAGTAGCCTGCATCCACAGTGACATTTTAACACACAACAGGGAGGTGATACAAGTAGGTGTACCAGCAATCCTTGAAAGCTGGCAAACATATCTTTTAGTTTAATTCTTAAATGACCTATAATAATCATTTTCTCTTTCGTTACTCGTGTAATTTTCTTAGTTTTGTATGGCAGTGGGACCCAATGTAAATGGCATTCCCAAACATAAGCTGGTAAAGCACACTTTATGCTAACATTCTTATTTGCCTCACAGCAAAACCACAAACTCCAAGTGTATCATACCATCTAAAGTATTACTATTAATAATACTAGGTCTTTCAGAGGTACTATATGATCAAGAGCACTCAAGATCGATCTCAACTCGGACATCTGTAGGTTAATTAATAGTCCCCAAACTTGGAAATTAATTCATTCATCATGTGGGAACAAGAAAAACATGGCCTTTAACAGGCATACATTGCTACACAGAATCCATGGCATGCTCTTCTTCCTGGTTCTCTTGTTTATTCCATCCTAATGTGGGGTCAAGAAATATAGCCTTTAATTGGGTATATAGCTACACCAAATTGACCTTCACCAATAAGGACATTGATCCAAACAACAACCAAACATAACTCCCTGTTTGGAAATAATCGCCAATTCTCCAGGCTTAACTCCCTGTATGGCAAACTCCCTAGCAGCATATCCCTGCAAGCGCACCCAAATTTTATTTAGCACACACAACTCAACAAAGTCTTGTCCCGACAAAACTTTTATTTAGCACATATTATGAGAAAAGCCACTTCAAAATAAAAAATAAAAAAATGGAGTCATTCAATGTGAAAATTTAGGTACAACCGATTAAACCGTTCAGTAAACATCACAGGATAAAGCTATGTAAAGAAAACTTATACAAGGAACTTATATTTGAATTCATACCATTAAGAAAGTAAGTAACTCAATGTCCTAGAACTTATTCTCAGACTTGTTGGTACAATATTATAAATATGAGTCTATTGTATGATACTAAAATGGAGTGATGTTTATGAGAGAATCACCAAAGAAACAACCGTAATGAACTGAACATAAAATACCAAAATTAAAAGGTCGATACAACAACATTTGACTTTAAGATCAGGCATGAAACAAATAATATCAAAACAATTTGTTATTGATTACCTATTTTGGAAAGAATCAACAGCAAACTAAATAAGTTATCAATGCAACATCAAATATTCTCATCAAAATCTCAAACAAAGGCATTAGAAATTTAGGTAGTGTTTGGTAAACGCTTGTTTTCGTTTTTTTTTTGTTTTTGTTTTCTTTTTATGGCCAAAAAAAAAAAAAACATGTTTGGTGAATATTTTTTTTTTTAAATTACTCTATTTTAAAAACAAGGTTAAAATATGAAAACATCCAAAAAGATGTTTTTGAAAACATCAAAAAGAAAAAACAAACGGACAATGGTGAAAAGATTTAATGAGGTCTGGGCATCGATCCTTCGTAACAATAAAATATAAATATTTTTACTTATAAAAGGCCATCTCTCTCTTTCACCTTTCATATTTCTGTTGTCTCTCTATCTCTCTAACTCTCTGTGTTGAAGACAAAGTCGAAGCCACAGCCACAGCCACGAAGACGAAGGATCCAGATGCCATCTCCCCTGCTCTCCCTCTGTCGCTTTCGCTCTCTCTCCCTCTCTCTCTTAACCTTCTCTATTTTGGTGGTGGTGATGGATTTTAGGGAGTGGTGGTGGATTTTGCTAGTGGTGGTGGGGTTGGGCGGTGGTGGGTTTGGGTGGTGGTGGGTTTTCAAGGATGGGGGTGGGTTTCGGGGATGGGCGTGGGTTGGGGGGTTGTGGGTTTCGGGGTTGGGGGTGGGTTGGGTGGTTGTGGGTTTCAGCCGATTGGGGCGGTGCTGGGGCTGGGTGGTGCTGAGTTTCAGCCGATTGGGGTGTTGTTGGGGCTGGGTGGTGCAGGGTTTCAGCCGATTGGGGTGGTGTTGGTGGGGGTGGGTTTCGGTGGTGGTGAGTTTCAGGGTGGTGGTGGCGGTGAATTTTAGGGGTTGTTGGGTATTGGAAAGGGGTTAGAGGGTGGTTTTCGGTAGGGGTGATCAAATTTTTGATTATCCGCAAGTTTCTATCCTATCCGATCCTACTGAACGATTAGACACAAATATCGGGTAGGAATGCGAAAGAATTTTTGGTCTTTTGATAATTTTCGGGTAAGAATGCGAAATAGTCATCCATTTTCGCATTCCTACTCTATCCACAATAATTTTATATATATATATATATATANCAAAAAAAAAAAAAACATGTTTGGTGAATATTTTTTTTTTTAAATTACTCTATTTTAAAAACAAGGTTAAAATATGAAAACATCCAAAAAGATGTTTTTGAAAACATCAAAAAGAAAAAACAAACGGACAATGGTGAAAAGATTTAATGAGGTCTGGGCATCGATCCTTCGTAACAATAAAATATAAATATTTTTACTTATAAAAGGCCATCTCTCTCTTTCACCTTTCATATTTCTGTTGTCTCTCTATCTCTCTAACTCTCTGTGTTGAAGACAAAGTCGAAGCCACAGCCACAGCCACGAAGACGAAGGATCCAGATGCCATCTCCCCTGCTCTCCCTCTGTCGCTTTCGCTCTCTCTCCCTCTCTCTCTTAACCTTCTCTATTTTGGTGGTGGTGATGGATTTTAGGGAGTGGTGGTGGATTTTGCTAGTGGTGGTGGGGTTGGGCGGTGGTGGGTTTGGGTGGTGGTGGGTTTTCAAGGATGGGGGTGGGTTTCGGGGATGGGCGTGGGTTGGGGGGTTGTGGGTTTCGGGGTTGGGGGTGGGTTGGGTGGTTGTGGGTTTCAGCCGATTGGGGCGGTGCTGGGGCTGGGTGGTGCTGAGTTTCAGCCGATTGGGGTGTTGTTGGGGCTGGGTGGTGCAGGGTTTCAGCCGATTGGGGTGGTGTTGGTGGGGGTGGGTTTCGGTGGTGGTGAGTTTCAGGGTGGTGGTGGCGGTGAATTTTAGGGGTTGTTGGGTATTGGAAAGGGGTTAGAGGGTGGTTTTCGGTAGGGGTGATCAAATTTTTGATTATCCGCAAGTTTCTATCCTATCCGATCCTACTGAACGATTAGACACAAATATCGGGTAGGAATGCGAAAGAATTTTTGGTCTTTTGATAATTTTCGGGTAAGAATGCGAAATAGTCATCCATTTTCGCATTCCTACTCTATCCACAATAATTTTATATATATATATATATATATATATATATATAAACTAAAACAACCCTAATCTATCGAGTACCAATAGTGTCTGCGCCTCACACCTCACTCGGTCAATCCAATGCTCCTCCTTCATCGTTTCAGACTTCTCTCTCTGGTGTGGTTTGGTTTGAAAGGTCTGATCATAGACCTTCATCTACAGTAACAGATCAATGTGCGATCTGATCGCGTGTGATCTGAGTTGCAAATCCTATGTTGCAGATCGTGATGACTTGGTCTTTGTTCCTATGTTGCAGATCTGGCTATTGCCATTTGTTTGTGTATACTTACGAGTTAAATTAAATATGGTATCTGGTTGGATGTTGTTTGCATATGTCTTTCTTTTTAAAGGGCAAACACCACTTCTCTCTCTCTCAAATATATTTCTTTTTAGATGGTACTGGTATGGTGGGCGGTGTTTTGTTGGAATGGCCATGGAACCAAGGGTAGTGATGATGCACAAAATTAAATAAATAGTGTATGTTATTTAATTAAATTGTTAAAATAATTTAAAAATTAATTATTATAAAAATGTTTGAGAGAGAGAATCAAGTAGGAATACCACACCTGTCGAATAAGATATGTTAAAAAAAATTCTTCCACAAAGTATCAGGTAGGAAGGCGAAAGAGCATATTTAATACCCGTAGGGTAGGGTGAACACCCTAGTTTTCGGTGGTGGTGGGTGTTTGGTGGTGGCTGGTGGTTGACTGTTGGGTGGTTGATGGTGTTGAATGATAAATTTTTTTTATAATACCAAACATATTTTTTATTTTATAAATTTTTAAATATAAATGATTATCAAACATATTTTATATTTTTAATTTTATCACAAATAAAAATAAAAATATGTTCTATTTTTTTTTTATAAAATAAATATAAAAATAAAAACGTTACCAAACGCACTCTCAATTAATAGAGAGTCGGCAAACTATCGATACTCACAGCTGCGACACAGCCACCGACTATCATGTATTTGAAACTCTTTTCCGTCATTCGATTTATAGATGGAGAACATGAAAATGAAGTGTGTACAAAGAGAGTAAGAATAGAAACGAGATTTGGATGGTGATATATGGGCAAATATAAATTGGATGAATTTGGTTGAGTTGTTAACTCTTATGTCTTCTGTCTTAGTAGCGTTGGGTCAGACTATGAATAACCTTAATTCTAGTTAAGTCTAGCGTAGTATGTTTTTCATATGAGGGAATTAATGGAGATGTGCATAAGTTAGTTTATACACTCCTAATTATTAAGAGAAAAATAAAATACATACATACATATATATATATATATATTTATATATATCCATTGCCCTTTTCCTCGAAGATAAATTATGTGTATAGATGAAGGATCCACTTATAAATAATAAGTTCTATCTGCATGGACAGTAAAGATTTATAATTGAGTAATGGAGATAAACTCGAGGGTAAATTGTACTAGAAGTTTCAAAAATATGGGATTTGTCTCATTTTAATTCCTAATATTTTTATTGTATCATTTTACCCCTTAAAATATTGAATATATTTTTATGTGGTCTCTTGGGGAGACAACATTCAAATTGCTAATGATTTTTTATCATAAACTTATCACGTGATACTTAAATATGGGAAAAAAAATAATTTGGATAATCTTTAACCAAATTTTTACATAAATTACACAGTTTTGATCAAAAACTATCCAAATTTTAGTCAAGAACTAGCCATATTACATATTTTTGGTCAAGAGATACTCAAAATTTGGTTAAGAGTTACCTAGATTATTTTTTGCCCATATTTAAAAAATTGTTCGCAATTTGGATTCTGTCTGCTTGAAGGACCATATAGAAGAATATTCAAGGATCAAAATGATGCAACTAAAATATTGAGGACTAAAATGAGACAAATCTCATATTTTGTGGATCTCTAATGTAATTAACCCTAACCTTAATCAATAAAAAATATTATTAAAATTGATTCCACTTGGAGGTGAGTATATATTATACGAGTATTTATTAAATGTTATAGTATTTATTTACTTATTTATTCACTTATTAATAGATGATGACAGTACGTGGTATTGCTGATGTAATATAACTGCTATCCTTAATATTTTTTTGGGGTTCATGGAAGTCACACACGTGTTGATTTTCTGCCGTTAAGTTTGCTGATAGTGCAATCGCCATTTTTTTGTTTGCGTGAACGAATAGTATTGAAACAAAAAAAAAAAATGAAAGAAAAAATGAATAATATTAAAGCCGGTTGCGATTTTTTGCTAGAGTCCCATTACCATCCTCAAAAACACTTTTGATATTGTAACTTTATTTTTTTAATTAATAAAAATATATTAAATATCCAAATTATTATTCTATAATGATATCATTACTCATTTTAGTATTAAGGAAAACATCATTATCGGTGTATATATATCTCTCAAGGTTAGTGGAGTAAATTTTTAACTCTATATATTGATGTTGTATTATTTGTCAATGGTAATATTTGATTATTACATGAAACCGAGTTTCTCCCTATAAATATTAAATAAAAGAAATAGTGAGACAACTTAAGTGATTGAAATTTAAATATCCTAGGATCGAACCCGTAGATTGTTAGGGTTATCTCATAAAACATATATAGGAAAAAATTTAGAGAGATTTAATATGGAGAATTGTTTAAATAATATTGCTCCAATAAAGTGAAAGAGATAAATTTAGCAGTATGTAATGTCCAAAAAATAATTCCTTATGTTTATGTTGCATGATGTTTTATGTATATATTTTTGTGTTTAATGTCAAATGTTATTCTTGCAGTTGGTGTGTTATGTAAATACTAAATCGATTTAGAAATGGATAATTACGAGCTTACAAAGTATTTACAAAGTGTGAATGATTGTTTGCTCACATTTAAGAAGTCTAATCATCTATTGGTGATTGAAAATTATGAAAGTTAAATTTGTAGCTTGTTTTAAGGCAACAATTTACGAATTATAGTTGCAAAATTTTATCTCTTGACTTGGAATTGTCGACTTTATGGCCAAGCCATTAAGAACTTATTGTGATANAAAATGAGACAAATCTCATATTTTGTGGATCTCTAATGTAATTAACCCTAACCTTAATCAATAAAAAATATTATTAAAATTGATTCCACTTGGAGGTGAGTATATATTATACGAGTATTTATTAAATGTTATAGTATTTATTTACTTATTTATTCACTTATTAATAGATGATGACAGTACGTGGTATTGCTGATGTAATATAACTGCTATCCTTAATATTTTTTTGGGGTTCATGGAAGTCACACACGTGTTGATTTTCTGCCGTTAAGTTTGCTGATAGTGCAATCGCCATTTTTTTGTTTGCGTGAACGAATAGTATTGAAACAAAAAAAAAAAATGAAAGAAAAAATGAATAATATTAAAGCCGGTTGCGATTTTTTGCTAGAGTCCCATTACCATCCTCAAAAACACTTTTGATATTGTAACTTTATTTTTTTAATTAATAAAAATATATTAAATATCCAAATTATTATTCTATAATGATATCATTACTCATTTTAGTATTAAGGAAAACATCATTATCGGTGTATATATATCTCTCAAGGTTAGTGGAGTAAATTTTTAACTCTATATATTGATGTTGTATTATTTGTCAATGGTAATATTTGATTATTACATGAAACCGAGTTTCTCCCTATAAATATTAAATAAAAGAAATAGTGAGACAACTTAAGTGATTGAAATTTAAATATCCTAGGATCGAACCCGTAGATTGTTAGGGTTATCTCATAAAACATATATAGGAAAAAATTTAGAGAGATTTAATATGGAGAATTGTTTAAATAATATTGCTCCAATAAAGTGAAAGAGATAAATTTAGCAGTATGTAATGTCCAAAAAATAATTCCTTATGTTTATGTTGCATGATGTTTTATGTATATATTTTTGTGTTTAATGTCAAATGTTATTCTTGCAGTTGGTGTGTTATGTAAATACTAAATCGATTTAGAAATGGATAATTACGAGCTTACAAAGTATTTACAAAGTGTGAATGATTGTTTGCTCACATTTAAGAAGTCTAATCATCTATTGGTGATTGAAAATTATGAAAGTTAAATTTGTAGCTTGTTTTAAGGCAACAATTTACGAATTATAGTTGCAAAATTTTATCTCTTGACTTGGAATTGTCGACTTTATGGCCAAGCCATTAAGAACTTATTGTGATAATTTCACATATTTGCCTTTTGCTAAGTGTCTCTAGAGTATAATAGCATGTAACTCATGATTACAAATCCATTAAGAAAAGGGCTACTAAAGACATCTAAGAAATAAGTTAATATAATGGGTCTTTTTTGTAGCTCATGATGGTTGTTTACTTAATGTCGTGGATTTTGCATAATGGTTTTTTATTTGACATTTTTAGTTCTTATTTGAACTGTTTATGATATTTCTTGTTTTTCAAAATATACATACATGTATGAGATTGAATGAAAGATAACAAGAATAGCCTTTAGCACAAGACATTATTGTTGGACCTTATTATATATATACTTCTCAATTATAGATTACATTAGATAGGTTGCTAGTGTTGTGATACATGGAAGAGACTATGTCGCGTTAATGATGTATGTTGCCATGACTCGTATTAGTGGGTTGTTTAATTGTGATATTATGATGGCCAAATTAAAGAGAAGATGGATTGGATTTATTGCGCATTTATGTAAACCTTGACCAAATTGCAAGACAATCATATAGGCCAAGCGAGGGAATGTACGAATTAATGTGGCTCACATGATTTAGCACATCTGATTTTATTGATTATTATCGAAAAATTAGGTTGGGTCATATAAAGATAAGATTACCAATCCTAATCTAACTGGTATAACTAATAGTTTTTGATTGGTCAATGAGAAGAAGTGGTTTTTTGATGTCTTACTTTGATGGGAAATATAGTTTATATTGAACTAGAGAACTGGCCCTCTCTCTACCTATAAATGTAAACATCCCCCATCGAATTGTGTATTATAAAAATAAAGATCAGGAGAGAGAAACTTATTTCTGGCCTACACCAAAGAATGATTCAATTATTGATTAAGTAATTCAAGGTTTGCGATTATGAC